CAACAATAAACATAATAATAAAACAATGAAAATGTTGTATTCAGCCCTGATTAAAACAGCGGGCCCAAATCCTGGATGGGCGGGCCTGGCCCCATGGGGCCCGCCCATGATGCCGGGTCTGATCACCGTTAGTACCGGTCCGGTACCAAAAGAAAAAAGACTGAAGTGCAAACCCAACTCCACTAGCATTTAAGCCTCCACCACTCGCAAAAAGTTAGCCAAAGCTATTACAAACGCCAAATATCCTTATGTTGCCATGTTAGCAAAGCGCTACCTGGCTATATCTGCTACCTCTGTCCCTATCGAGAGGGTGTTCTCCACAGCAGGAGACATTGTTAGTGCCAACAGATCTGCCCTTTCGGCAAGCAACTTCATTTTTCTTTAAAAAAACATGAAAATACAATGACAAGCAAGTCATAATGTCAAACTGGCTGCTTAGGTACTAGTACATACAGTTCAAATACAGATTATTTCAGTTCATCGAAATGCTGCACCTTAAGGTTTATTTTATTATATTTTGTATTTATTTGAGTGAATATTCAGTTTAATAATAATAATTAAAAACCCAAAACTAATAGTTTATGTTTTGTGAGTACTAGTACAGTAAAGTTCAAATACAGATTATTTCAGTTCATCGAAATGCTGCACCTTAATGTTTATTTTATTATATTTTGTATTTACTTGAGTGAATACATTATTCACAGTTTAATAATAATAAAAGACAAACAAAAAAATATGTTTTGTGAAAAAAAATTCTGCTGTACCGAACCGTGACCAAAAAACCGAGGTACGTACCAGACCGAAATGTTTGTGAACCGTTACACCCCTAGTAGCATGTAATAAATATAACATCAGAAAGTATTTATCAATCGCACACAGGCAGCTGTGTTTAGATCCAGTTTGACGGTAAAGGATGTATCCTGGTTTCATTTATCAGCATCATTGCTGTGATGTGTAATTTACATGGATTTACATGGGCCGCATAGTTTAGCAAATAAAAGTGATCGATCTCCCAGGTAGCGCTTTATTCATATTTTGTTTCAAGCTCCCGTCCTTAGTAAAAACAAAACTAGTGGAAGGCGAAATGCTCCCAGGGGAAGCTGATCCGCCTTCAGGTGCTGGGAAAGCTCGGTCTCTCTGCAGAGGTGTGAGCTGGGGTCTGTGAACGCCGCTCCGCAGTTTAATGCAGGGCCGCAGCTGCGTTTTTAACGGGCCTAAAATGATATTTTAAATGATTCACTTTTAATTAATGTACTGCTTGTTTCATTGCTTGAGAAGCTTGTGGACATAGTGTAGGTTCTTTTCTACAAGTACAGTTTAGGGACACAAAAGTTAGGGGGGCAGCTAGGGGGGCCAGGCTCTACAGTGGGGGGGCAGCTGCCCCCCCTTCCCCCGTAGATCCGCCCCTGGCACTGTGCAATAAGAAGATTAAAGCTGAGACTATACTTCGGCACAGTTGTGTTTTGAGCTAAATGCTAAAGTAAGCATGCTAACATGATGATGTTTGACGGGCTTAATGGTTACCATGTTCAAAATTATAGTTTAGTCTGTTAAGAAACTAACGTTTGCTAATTTGCAAAAAAACAAAAGGCTGAAGTCAGAGGATCATTAAAGTCAGTAGGATTAATTATTTGGTAACCATTAATTTCTTTACCAAATTTCCTGGAAATCCTTTCAATAGTTGTTGAGATATTTTTAGCCTGGGACCAAACTTGTAGACCAACTCAAGGCCCTCATTTTAGATTTAGTGAATTCAAGGCCCTTTATGAACGCTGGTTATAGACTCAATACAGACCAAAATACATTTTTAGAGGTGGCTGTCATGACTTTTTCTGTAATCAGCAGATGGACACAGCTGGACAACACCAAGTCCAAGCCAAAGCTCGACGTACACCCACTCATGGTACAATTAAAAAGTGGACTGAAGAAACATGCATTTCTATGTCAAAATGGGGCATTTAGTTTACATGATGAAGTTTTGTCATAAGCACAACCTAAAGTAATTTACCAATGTGGGTCCTAACGTTTTGTAAATGACCCAAAATCAGATTGTGTCAAGAAAGAAGATCACATCTTCAATACACTAAGACGAATACACTAAAACAACTATACAAAGCTACGAATAAAATAAGAAGGGCAATTGAATTTCATCAGATCATAAAGACCCGCCCACTGCCCTGGTCTGTGAAAGGTTCAGACCAAAACTGTGTCAGGAGTGGAAAATGTAACAGGATCAGTTTCCTCTTTTATTCTGATATCTCCCGTCTCCTAGCAGATAAGTTCTCTCAGTAATTCTGCGTACAGAGATGGTTATGATAAGAAGACGGAGTCTCTCTGATCCCAAGACCAGTTCAATGCTTTTGTCAATGTTCATTTAGACATTTGGCTTTTTATCTTTTAATATATGTCATACGGCAGTTTGGCTTAAGTTCTCCCCAAAAAAGAGAAAGCTGATAATGTTAGGGAACTAATTAAGATATTACCAACCTTTGACACATGAGAGGTCTTGGTCTTCTTGGGGTCTGAGAAGGCGGAGAGAGGGATGGTGGGCAGCATGGGGTAGTCAGGACTGGGCCGGGACACGGCTTCAGCCCCCTCTGGAACCACCATCACCTGGAGATAAAGAGACAAGAGTTATGGAGCTGTACTATTGTATACACACTGTCAACTCTCATGTAGTGTCAGGGAGCCTTTACTCAATTCCACTGAAGACAGAAGCAGGTTATTTTTACCCAAATGTTATGTGACCCACAGTTGTCTACAGCTTGAATCATCAGTAGAAAACAAATATTGTACACAATACCGGCATACACATTTGAGAAGTTAACTACAAAAATCCTATAATTGTGGTCAGAAAACATCCTTCAAAAAGGAAACTGTGTCCATTACGTGTACTCTTGTTAATAACATTTTAGTCCTCAGATCATCATAAAGCAAAATGTATAAACACCAACATTACTGATCTGGCATTAAGACTTTATCGTGTATAAAGATAAACTGACTGGAACTTAAATCAATTCACCTTTAGATTCAATTTTGGAATTTTTCAGAAACGTTATCAAATACTGTTGTTCTCAATTGAAAATACAAGGCTTGTCTTGTGCTGGTTTACTTACACTCTGATTCCTTATAAGTAGTTACATTAACAGAATGTCCGCGGGACTCAACAAGTGAAATGTAGGATTGACAAATAAACATATGATGAGTAACCAGTAGGGAGACAAAGGCCTATAACATTATTTTTTCATGATAAACTATTTATTAAATTATTATTATAAGTTATAGAAAATGTATTGATGTATTAAGTATTTAAATACAATAAATTACGTTTTTGTTTAAGTTGACGCTGGTTTGTGACAGTGTTTGCTACCCGTCTAATGGAGGGTTTAAAAGCCCTCTACATGCAGAATTGAGTGTCGCAACACTCCTACTTTTAGTGTTTGTTTAATGCATAACATCTCCCAACAACCTGCAATTGCTAACCAAAACGTTTCAAAACTAACATTACCATTAGGCAGGCAGGAGAAGAAAATGCTGAAATGCTTTCGATGCCTGCAGAAACCGTAAATTGAGGATAAAGCGGCGGCTTCACAACTCATGATGAAATACATCACGTGGTACTCTAGTACTATTAACAAGAATAGGGTTTGCTATTGACTCTAGTCACTCATTAAGCCATCAGCCCAGTGTACCAGCAGCCTCACCCCTCCAGCTTTGATCAGCTTTCTCCTGAATTCTTTGGTGGGGTTGTTGAAGGTGAGCTTCTCACAGCGCAGGTGGTTGACGGGTGGGTTGCCTTCCAAGTTGAGAAATAGGTCGTAGTTGAAACACACCTTTTTTGGCTCCTCCTGAAGTAAGACAACAGTATAAAAAGACATGTTATTAACCCACTCTGACACAAACTAATGTTGTGTTTGTCTTTCTGCATTAAACTGATCCATTTCATAACAAAAGATAAAGGCTGAATTAATTAACTATCACCCAGGAAGTAGGGCTGCTCAATTAATCGTATTTTAAATCGCAATTACGATTATGGCTTGCAACGATTACGAAAACATCGTAATCGAAATAAAACTATTATTTTTTTATTATTACTTTTTTTATTTTTTTATTAATTTTTTGTATTGGTTTTTCAGTTGAATTATACTTAGAGTTCAGGGTAATCAACTGTTNATCACACGAAGCTCTGCACTGCACTGCCACCCCCCCACCCCAGAAGTTGGCTTTCTCAGTGAGGTACTAAGATGAGTACCTGGAGTCAGTGTTCGGTACTCCAACTTCTGGGGTGGGGGGGTGGCAGTGCAGTGCAGAGCTTCGTGTGATCAGCTGTTTTAGCGCAGTGCTGCTGTACAGGCCGACGTTAACAGCAGCCTTGTCTGTGCACACGGAAACCGACTCTGTCGTCCGGTGATCTAACTGGAAAAGCTTCACAAGTACGTCGGTACGCAAATGCACTTTGTGACACAAGTGACGGTTCGCATTTCAGATTGTTGCCGCGCATGCGTACCTGCGTACCACTTATGTGCACCCCTGCGTATACACCATAAATGAACAACTATAAGACTTAATTAGATGCTTTTGGTGGTCCTTGTTGATTTGTGCAGTACCTGTCCTGGTCATATTCAGGTCTGAACTGTATTTACCCTCCATGGTTGGCTGTGCCCTCTAAACCTGTTACGCCTCTATCTTTCATGTCCTCCTCCTCATTAATATCATACACTACGCTGTGTTGGTGATCCTTCACGCTGAAAGTGGTGATTCAAGTTTTAACTGAGATATCGATATGTCTGATGTCTTTCAAAATGTTCAGTGTGCAGCTTCTGTTTGATTCTGGCTTTCAAAGAGTATAGCGGTTTAATTGGCTTTTTCTGGCTTTTCAGATGCCACCTGTTGGGGAAAGAAACATTCAATTCACGGTGGTTCAGCCTTCATACCCATAGATGCTTGTTTCTGTCAAAGCCCTGCACATGTCTCCCTTTTCCCATCTTCCTTTTTAATGTGGCTGCCACTGTCAAGTCCCCTTGTGTCTCCTTCCTCTCTCCAATCTCAGACCTCTTTATTTTTTCATTCCGTCTCCTGAAGCCACAAAATGTCCGTCAATTTTCACCCTTTCATTCCATCTCTTTTTCAAGTTTTTCTCCGCTCGGAGCGCAACATCTCATCTCACTTTCGCCTCATCCTTTTTTCTCTGTGTGTCACCAACGTATCATCTTTGGCCTCTAGATTTGATTTCCTCCCTATTGGGGTGCCATGGATGCCAGAGGGGAGCAGCCTCTCTAGATAAATCTCGGATCGCTGGCACACATATATTGAACATGTGCGTGTCACACACACACACCTTTCATTTTTCTACACAGACATGCCTCGATAAATATGAAATTCATGTATCACTTTATTGCCTGAGGCCGAACTGTTAGGAGGCCCTGACACTGCTCATTATATGTGAATGTGGAAGGACTCACACTCACAAACACCTACGCTCTGTTCCTTCCTCCTCTATTCATCTTTCAAATCGTCACCCAGAACTTAAGAGTATCTCAGACGGATCAGAATCAATCACAGTGATGAAACCTGGTTGTAACACCGTCATCTGCGAGGCCTTTGACATCCAAAAAAGCACACATGAATGAAGTTTTGTTCCTCCTTTTATCCGTCTCATACCCTTACTACTTTTATTTAAAGTCATGGCTGAATGGGCAGAAGACCAAAGCTACCAGGAGTCAGGAGAAAACAAATGTCCAGAAATCCCCAAATGAACCAAGTTAGGTGAGCACAAGTTTTGAATCAGGACACAAAATGACATTCTGAAGGTGTAGCTGGATGTCAAGTTGCTGGAAGATGAGGAAGCCCGGCTCCATGTGAACCAAATGTTTCATTTCACAGTAAAGATTCATTTGGCGAGTGTGGAGCTGCCGTGCACGAGTCCATCCCAGCTGCTCTGCGGAGCATCAGAGGAAGGAAGCCACATCAGTCTCTCAGGTGATAGATTGGAAATCAAAGTTTTAATCATACACTCTGGGCTGTTGCCTGGCAACAGGCTTCCCGTTGCTGAACTTGTCTTGTTGGCTGAGGAGAAGCAAAGATGAGAAGATGATGACGAGCCAAACAGAGAGAAGCAGGGGGGGTTGAGTGGGGGAGCGGG